ACACTGGTGATCCGTGAGTAAAATTGCTGCAAATCGCTAAAATGAAACGTCGCTAACCGGTTGACAATAGGAAAACGCTAAAATTAATAGTCGCTAAAATTACCCGTTCTGCAGTATGTGCTACGGACATTCTGCTGGATCAGGGAGCGTGCTGGATTGACAAATCCGATTTACTCCTGCAATGTGCATGAGGAGGACATTCTGGCTACTGAAAATTATGCTGATTTATTGGGGGGTGCTGGTTTATAAAGTGCTGGATGAAAGAGGGATGACCGTATCGGAAGACCACTATTTTAAGACAACACACAAACGTTTAGCCTACCTCTGCCCAGTCCGCTTCCAGAAACGATGGCGGTGGGCCCTTCTTCAGCTCCTTCGGGGGACTGTTCGGATCCTTCAGGCGCAATATTCTTTACAAAGCCGTAAAAAAAAGAACAACACGAAAGCAAACTTGAAACTACGCTGCGGCAGAATGAAACCCAGGATCATTAATAGGTCACTGCACTACACCAGTGCACATTTGATTCACAATGTTGCCACTGTCAATCACCGTCATGTACTAGTTTTCACTTGTTCTAGTGTGGACTTTGACTCGTTTGTGACCCGCAAAGTTGCTGCTCTGGGTCGAGGCATTGACCGCTTTCAGACCTTCGTGTAAGAAAAATCCAGGAGAGTGAACAATCACTCTCGCTATCCTCTCAAGGAGAGTGGTGGGAGAGCAGTCCCCACCACCCCCCCCCCCCCCCCAAAAAAAAGTCGCTCGCCCTATCTATCCAAGGCGAGCACAATACGGGGGTTTTTCAACATCTTGCCATACCCCAATCGGATTCAATACCCAATAAAGGCCAAATTCGTTCTGGAAAATCGCCGTACGCACTACAAATGAAAGCTGTTCGGACCACAACTTTAGTTTCCCTTCATCAGGGACAATGACACACGCAATGGGAAATTGAGACAATTCGCTAAGATCCATGGTATTTTTGTAGTATTCATCGTAGTGCGCTCCTTTGTTCTGTAGCTGACCGCTAAAGACCTGTGCCTGGCGTCACACAGGTCTATGCATGCCCGGACTGTAACGCAACAGAGGGAAATCCTTTATGTCAAAATATCGGTAAGATGATTGCCACCCAAGTGGGGAAGTGAAAATTTACAACGGTACGTAAAATACCTTGCAAGTGCCGTGACTCCACTATTGGACCTCGGATCGACTTCCTATTTCTTGGAGCCGACAGCTGAGAATTTTCTAATGCGAATAGACCTTTCGATTACTCGATTCCGTTCAGGGAAAGCCAAGTTACGAAACATTTGAGTGTTTTCAGAACTTCATAGTGATGCGGATGCGCTCGAAATTCTCAAGGCGCGCGACGAAAAGTGCGCCCTAAAAGAAAATAAGGAGAGCGAAGGCGCGCGAGAGCGATCGCTCTCCTTTTACCAGATGGTCTGGCTTTGGAGTGTATGGCAAGCACCTGGTATATATTAAAGCCTTGCTTGATAGTTAACATGTTTTCAATGCTGTCGAAATCGAAAACATGTCAAGCACCTCCAGTCCCTCATCGAGGATCCCGCAGTGAAGGCAGTTGACAAAGCCCGGCTGCGAGGATACTTGAAAAAGTGGAGCTCTGGCAAGATGCTGTACGGCTGTGCCTTCCTGTTTGATGTTCTTCAACCAGCTGCCTTGATCTGCCGTTCATTGCAGGCCGACAAAATATGTGTCATGAGCGCCATGAGCGCCATTAAAGCCTTTCTCAAAAGTGTAAAGATGCTTCAGAACATCAGTACTTCAGCATTCATAGATCTGCCAGTAGTCAAGAAGGTGAAGTCCCGGCTGCATGATTCCGATGATAGTTCAACTCTGTACCAAGGTGTTGAGGTGAAGTCCTGCAACAACGGTTTCACCATAGTGGAGTCCAGCTCCATGGAGATCTCGCAGAGAGGGATCACATGCATCAGCAGCAGAATCTCCAACCAACACACCGACCTGCTGACAGGCTGCCCGGCTGTTCTGGCAACGTATGGCTGGAGTACGATAATCCAGAGCTTGGACCCGATGCTGTTGAGCGGCTCAGTGAGCGCTTCCGGGATCCATTGCAGCATGCTGGGCTTGACTTGGCAACCATCTCAGAGGAGTGGGACGGCATGGTGGCGTATGCACAACGCTACCTCAGCCTGACGGACAGCCACAGCACTGTCTGGTGGAAGCTGTTCAACGTTAGCCAGACAACATGCTGGCAGAGCATCCTTGGCCCGGTCCGTCTACTGTTCTGTCTCCCAATGTCGAATGGCCGTGTTGAGAGGATCTTCTGAACGTTGAAGCACATCCAGATACACCAACGATGCGGTCTTTCTGAGGCCCGACTTGACTCCCTGGTCCGGATTGCTGTTGAGGAGCCAACCCCGAGCGAATGGCAACCAGCAACAGCTGTAGGTCTCTGGTGGAGTGACAAGTGCCGGAGGACAACGCAGGACAACAGGGTGTCAGCTGCTGCTCAACCTGCAGACCCAGGCCATGCACCACTAGACCACTGGACCTGGATGACTGCGATGCCTTTGTTGCTTTGTCTTAAGAGTTCAGTGGACTGTTCAGCATGATGTCAGCATCTATACTACATATACTTGCTTTGGTATTAGCAGTGCAGCTTAACGGTGGGGGATAACCTACCTGATCAGTATCTCAGTGTGTGTGTGTGTGTGTGTGTGTGTGTGTGTGTGTGTGTGTGTGTGTGTGTGTGTGTGTGTGTGTGTGTGTGTGTGTGTGTGTGTGTGTGTGTGTGTGTGTGTGTGTGTGTGTGTGTGTGTGTGTGTGTGTGTGTGTGTGTGTGTGTGTGTGTGTGTGTGTGTGTGTGTGTGTGTGTGTGTGTGTGTGTGTGTGTGTGTGTGTGTGTGTGTGTGTGTGTGTGTGTGTGTGTGTGTGTGTGTGTGTGTGTGTGTGTGTGTGTGTGTGTGTGTGTGTGTGTGTGTGTGTGTGTGTGTGTGTGTGTGTGTGTGTGTGTGTGTGTGTGTGTGTGTGTGTGTGTGTGTGTGTGTGTGTGTGTGTGTGTGTGTGTGTGTGTGTGTGTGTGTGTGTGTGTGTGTGTGTGTGTGTGTGTGTGTGTGTGTGTGTGTGTGTGTGTGTGTGTGTGTGTGTGTGTGTGTGTGTGTGTGTGTGTGTGTGTGTGTGTGTGTGTGTGTGTGTGTGTGTGTGTGTGTGTGTGTGTGTGTGTGTGTGTGTGTGTGTGTGTGTGTGTGTGTGTGTGTGTGTGTGTGTGTGTGTGTGTGTGTGTGTGTGTGTGTGTGTGTGTGTGTGTGTGTGTGTGTGTGTGTGTGTGTGTGTGTGTGTGTGTGTGTGTGTGTGTGTGTGTGTGTGTGTGTGTGTGTGTGTGTGTGTGTGTGTGTGTGTGTGTGTGTGTGTGTGTGTGTGTGTGTGTGTGTGTGTGTGTGTGTGTGTGTGTGTGTGTGTGTGTGTGTGTGTGTGTGTGTGTGTGTGTGTGTGTGCATGTCCCTTGAGTTCGTGGGGGACGGTTTGGAGTTTTTTTGCTCTTCAATTTTCTGAAGTTTGCTGGCTCTTGAAAGCGCCACCCTGGTTGGCTAGAGTGTCAGAACAACTCTTGGAAACTCAGGCGTCATGTCCAGGGCAGAGATTGATACTGCCACTTGTCGTCTGACAAGAGTTGCCACTCGTCGCGGTGTGACGAGCCCGCGAGTGGGTACTGACAAGAAATCTGTCCATAGAAGAGTGGAGAGGGAGGGAGAGAGTCTTCAGCTGGCTTCCTGGAATGTTCGCTCTCTGCTGAACGCCTCTGGCCCGATAGAGACGGCTTTCGCTCGCCAAGAGAATATTCAAAATTCAAGATTTGAATTTGATGAGAGAAGAATCGATGTTGTCGTTTTGGAGCTGGATCGTCTAGGCTCGGAGTACAGTGGTGGCAGAGGCATGAGCTGTGGGTGGAGACGGTTGCTGGAGATGGATGGTGATGCAGGGAGAAGGGTTACGCTGCCTGACGACGCATGGGAAATTGTTTGATCCTGCAATTTCAGTTCGAGCGCGGTGGACTTCTAGACGATGTGTCCTCATGGCTGTTTTTCAACGCTTGGCCTATCGCTGATATCCCTGTGTGGGATGTTCTTCCAGTGGAGTCCAGGTGGGACTTCGGGTGCCCACACTCCATCACCTGGTTGATTGTTTCGGAACTGCAAAAATACAGGTTCAAATAATTATTATTTCCTTTTTGTGCGTATCTCTTGTCATCTCTCTTTTCTATACGTCGCACACCAGATGTGCTACTTTCGCTGTCTTTCTCCTGCTATCTCTCTGCTTGCTGTTTTTGTTGCCATTGTCCTTCATCATACCCATGCTTGGGTGGAGGGCGACATGACCCGTTAGGGTAGCTGTCAATACAGTACGCAATCGTGGACGACGTCGTGGCGGAGCGGCTTCCTGGTGGCAGTGCTGACTTCTCTCGAGCTCTCTCTCTTCTACTCTCCCCTGTCTCAGGGGCGGCGTGGCCAAGCATTTGGCAGCTGTACACCAACCAGGCCAGGTGTGTGTGTGTGCGTGCGTGTGTGTATGTGTGCGTGTGTGTATGTGTGTGTGTGTGCGTACGTGTGTGTGTGTGTCAGTGTGTGTGTCCGTGTGTGACTCATTCTTCTCAGTTGTTCACTGTAGTTTAGCTCCCTGATCCCTGTCAGTATTCCCTTGCCTTGGTTTCATTCTGTCAATCTCGCCGTCACTATTTAAATTTACCCGGGGACTCTCCTGGATCTGTACAAACATTGAGAATGCAACAATTACATTATAATATAAAAATTATATGCCTGCAGTGTTAGGGCGCGTTCAGACTACCGATAAAAAGTGACCGATTGGGAAAGTCACCAAGGTGATTTGATCACGTGACGTTACTGGCACGTTACCGGTGGGAAAGTTTTACTGCCGCGGCTGCTGCGGCAGTAAACTTTTACCGGCAGTAAAAAAGTGCTCAGGCTGCATGCGCGCTGGGAAAAAAGGGAAAATCCCTTGTCAGTGCCGCGGTGAGAGCTGAAAACTTCACGGTAACGTTAGTTTGTTATCGGTAGTGTGAATGTCCTTCACGGTTTATCGGCATTCACGGTTTGACGGGGTTCACGGTAGTCTGAACGCGCCCTAACCTATAATTTGCCTATAGGCTATAATTAAAAAAGTTAGAGTCAAACTGAAACAGTTCAATCATATTAATCGTGCGAATGCAGAAACGGTATAAATGTGACTGACTGACTGAGTTGACTGCAGTGCACTTGGGTGACATGCGGGAACTTTGTTAGTTAAGTTTTACTTGTCCGACCATGTCCGACTTCAAAAGTGTCGGGACATTGTGTCCAAACATTTTGTATTTCTTATCGTGCGCCCTGGACTTACGCCTTGGCAAGATTGATGAAGTGCTGGCGCTTCTTCACTCTCTTGCGGCCTGGGATGTCCGTGCCGTACAGCCATGTCTGCGCTGATGGCTGCAACAAGGAGAAGAAAAGCCAACCGCTTTCAAGCAAAAATGCTGCTTCACTACTGCACATGGATCTTGCAGGCCAAGAAGCGAGAATCAATAACTTCCACGAATAAATACATAGAAAAGAAAAAGGACCAAGGAACTACAAGTTACGCTTTAATGTCCACTAACACCACCAGTTACTAAACAATCAGCTCATGCGATAACATTGCACGACATTGATCGACGGTACTGACGTTCTACAACTAACTGGCTAACAGCTCTAGCACATCTTGGATGCGCACTCCACCTTGGAAGGTTCTCAGTTCTATGTTCCTAGTAGTTCCTTGGTCCTTTTTTCTTTTCTATAAATTTATCCTTGGCTCTCCATCCGAGTCCATTCCACGAAAAAAATGATATTTTTCTAGTGGGGATATTATCCTCACTCCAGAGTACAATTCAGGGACGTGCATGTACAGCTAGCTGTCAAAGGTGACATCCGACCCAGAGTGCATATTTGGCGCTTTGGAAGTGGTACGAATGCTACTGGACGTACTCATCTACAGTGATCAGGTGATGCATGCAGTGGGCCATGGGAAGTTGGGAACTTGTCGATGGTCCAGCATGCCAGCAGGGCAAAACCCAACTTTGCATTCTGGCTCAAATTTCACCACTGAGAGGATATCCTGATTCACATCTCTAGATCTACTGACACTAGTAGTTCATATATGGAGCATGTGGAGCAAAAAAGGGAGGGGGGGGGGCAAAGAGCCAGAAAAAGGTGGTAAATTGCCCAAATATGGATGAAATGTGCACAAAGGTAGTAGTACAACACTGAAGAGTCGACTAGTCGTAAGGCTTACGATTTTTCTGACAGTTTTTTTCAATGATCTTGTAGATCTCCGGCGCGCGGCAGTGATCGTTGGGTCGAATCAAGACTCAGATCCCTATACAATCCACTGGATTTGAAACGATCGATTGGTCGAATCTGCATCCTGATCTACCGGATATGGATCCCAGAAACCTTGCCCGCGGAAGCAGATCCGACTGGATTCAACGGATTCTTTTTTTGCCAAAACAAGACGTTTGTAAATGCAACAATCTTTGCTATGTGCAAGTAGTTCACACACACATGGACAAACTTTGCACCATGCAGATGAGTACAACGAGCATAAACCCTGAATACTGTGACTTTTCATTTTTTAATAGTTGTATTTACTTTCTACATCAACAAGGTTATGACAGCAGTGTGTACAAACGTTACGAGATAGTTTGATTCTGAGGAATCTAGTGCGTCTGGGATCTGGATCCGGATCCGACCAAATGAACACAGCCTTGGACTGAAACACGAAGTAACGCGTGCGTGTTGTATGGGAGACAATTGCCCTGTGTGTACGTTGTGCACGGGCGCTCTGCTTTCGCATGGTGACGAGTGATGAGGTTGGCAGGGCTGAAATCTACAGGGAATTGAGAGCAGGATGTGCTGCTCGTGGCTCTGCTCAATTCTCTGCATAGTCAATGCTGTATTGCGAATCGCCAGTGGAAGCTGCCTTAGTTACATGTATCTTACTACAGTACTACCGGGCGCCGAAGAACGACCAAGCTAGAATTTCATCAAGCACAGCATACCAATGTATACACGGTGACTCAACTGTGCATAGACTGTAATACATGAAAATAGGAACGGTCTAGGCTAGAGGCTGACCCGCAGTTCTTCGGCGACCGACAATATTGTAGGGCCTGTTGTCACTCACCAACACACAGGCTAGTTCTGACGTGACCTGTGTGTTCAAATAGGCACGTGCACGACATCATCGTGATGTCATTCGTGTGCAATGTGCAGGACAAAATGGGTGGTTTGCAGGTCTAAAAGCAGTGCAATCACCCATTCCGCCCTACAGGTTTATACACATACCGGTATCATCAGGGCAAACCTGGCATATATATTATACGAGATATTATAACGCCGTGCCCAGTCTGCGGCTTGTTTAACCCCATGGCCATATTCGCCATGAAATGAGATGTAGGAGTTCGTGCATGGTGATTAGTACATCATGACAGAACAATTTGCTTTAGTTACACCAGTACGTGGATGATACACAATTGGGCTCCATTGGCATTTCAATTGGCGTCAATGAAAACAATTCAATTGTTGTCAATCTATAAAACGCATTAATTTGTTACAATCGTACCATTCGTCTCCATACTTGACGACTGATTTGAAGCACTTGCTGGCTGCGTTGCTTCACTCTACTCTGACCACGACTTGCTTCTGTGGGCGTAGCATTTTCCCTGCTCTCTACAGAATGCAAGGACAAGTTCAAGAGGAAATGCTCATCGTTTTCTACAATAAAGGTGGAGCAATTTCAAATTCGGAATTGCACAATCAATTTCCTCCACTTACCCTCGCCGCGCTTTGGCGTCCCGCGTCCACGAAAAAACAGACCGAGTACAGCACAGGACACCACAGCTGCCACCAAATACAAGAAAGCGTCCAGTAGACCTAACATCTTTCACTGCAAACAAGAACGACAAGTCCTTGCTGCTGAAAACTTTCAACTTCAAATCATCGAAGTGCTTGTTGTCAGCTGATAAAAGACGTCATTACCCAACGTGCAACGTGCAAACAACGCGTTGTTGTACGCGTCCGTTTCTCGATCTCTCCAGCGAGCTTCGCTACGGGCAACAACATCGAGTCGGTAGCGATCAGTTTGAAGACTACTTTGAACTACGATTCACTTCGCGGCAGAAGTGGCTAAATCCAAACGTTTGGGAAGGAAACAATGACTGAGCATCATGCATTAGGTATACATAGCCATAGGTCAGCAACACCCGGCCGGGACGATTTGTTCAACGACAGTCTACCTGCTGAGTGCTGTACAGCTCCACCCGATCGTAGATCTACACTGTACAGTACATCATGGTAGATCTACATGGTACACAGCTGAGCTGCAGTTCATATTCATGCCTTTCAAACACGACAGGTATCGTGAGTCCCGATGACAGTCTGCCAAGCTGCATTCCTAGATCCTACATAATAACACATAACATCTACAGCTACATGACGTAGATCTACTGATGAGTGATGTAGCTAGCTAGCTAGCTGGAGTACGAGCGTGGACCAAGTCTACCAAGAGTAGTGCGTTCGATTTAGCCATTCACTGATTCAGATCACCTCATGTGGGTGAGTTCCATTCATGAATCGATTCAAGTGCGCAATCGAACGCACTCACTCTTGAGTCTTGATAGTACAATGTCATACTATGTTGTTAGATTGACAGCATGAAACAAGGTGGAGGAGTGTGTTCGGAAACAGTGACCTTATTATAAGTTATAGCATAATGAGGGTCAGAACCGGGTTCAACACCCATAGGGCCATAATGGTTCAAATGGTCCCAACGGACCGTAACCGGGGCTCTGCCAACGGCGGAAGGTTGTAGTAAGGTCACTGTTTCCGAACACAGTGTCCTCCACCTCGTTTCATGCTGTCAATCTAACAACATTATAACATGTGTGATATCACAAGGTTTATCTAATCCTAGTTTTGAACTAGTACTAGTACAGTATTGGGTTATAATACAAATGTCATACTACTACTAGTACACTGCAGGATAGACTGCTTTTGGTGATCACTGACACTGACTCTGACTCTGAGGTCGAGGTGTGCCCTATACAGTCTGTATCGGCTATAGAGTGACCGGATATAAGAATATATCGGCTACAGTGATATTGGTACGAAATATCAAAAGCAAAACGTATTTTATCCAGTACAAATATCACTATAACCAATATTATCGGATGTAATGATATATCGGATATTATGATGGCAACATAGAATCAAAACATGCATAACACACTACATTATAATCGGCTATAGTGATAACTTTAAAATACATGTTGCAATAATATCAAAGGCCCTATTTTTTTTACTTTCTTCACGTTGCTTATTTTGATAGTGACACATGTACATGTACATAACAGAATTTTTTATGGAAATGCGGGCACTGTCAACTATGCAGCATGCTCATTTGTCAAAACGCCATGCTGGAAGTATTCCCTTGCCTTTCATGTGTCGCTCGAAAAAAATCGATCATATCGCATATAGTGATGCATCGGTTATAGTGATAAAATCACGGAAATCAAAAGGGTACGCTATAGCCGATACAGACTGTACTAAGGATCAAACTGATATCAGCACGGGGTCGGTGTCCAGCACCATGCTCACCTCCTGGCCTGCCATCTGGGCCCACACAAAAGGGCTGCATGCACCATGGGTACTTGGCTGTGTCGGTGATGTCGGTTGCCCCATGCTACCGCCGTCCTGCGCCTTGGACCGGTGAGGCTTTATTATAAATTTAAAAATCCTTCGGTTAGCAGCACCGGCACCGTGCACGACGCTCAGCCTGTGTATGTGGCCTCCAGGTAGGCGCCTCCCGCTTACTCACTGCCGCTGGGCAATCTCGCCAGCCGCCTCTGTGAGACTGTAGGCTAGCAGTGAAGGTCTGTGACCCACAGTACCAGCTAGGCCCAGACAGATCCTGCCGGCAATTCTTTCGGCAAAATATCGAAGAGTTGAAAGAGCGGAAATTGCCGGCAAAATCGGAGCAAAATATCGAGATGTTGGGTAAAATCGATGCCTGATACTTGGATTTCCTTGTTTCTTACCCGTTCAGCAGGATACACTGCCCAGGACGAGATCACATGTCACCGAAATATCACTGGGATTCACTGTGGATCGACATGATTTTGGAAGAACTCAGGGACACGTGCGTGGAAACCCGTGTTGAGAAACGGACCCTGCGATTTTTATGAAACGTTGTACGGGATTGTACGGGAAGTGGACATGATACACGTTTTTCCGGAGCAAAATATCGAGTCTCTTGTGCCAAGGTCGGCAAAATATCGAAGATTTCGCAGCAACATTTTGCGGCAAAATATCGAGGCGACCGGAGCAGAATCTGTCTGGGCCTAGTACCAGCTCTTCCAATTGTACTAGAACCTGGCTGCCTCCTTGCTTGAGGTGCCCGTACCCGTGTTGAGTGCGACCGCAACGCCGCTACCTGATCAGTCAAGCTCACACCAGTTGTAGTCTTCGGGGTGCTGAGTCGAATGGTCGTGGTCCGAGGAAGCTGAGACGCTCCCTTCCTACTTGAATCCCAATCGAACTCGCGCACTTCCACCGAAACTGGGTGACTGCGCCCTACTAGATGGGGATTCGTATGCAAAGTGTCACTAAAAGTGCCATTTCGTTCTTATAAAAGCACAGATGACCGCGATTGGCCCATATGTTGTAGTCTTTTGGACGCTGAGTCGACTGTTTTTTGTCCGAAAAGGCTGCGATGCAGCGTTCCTCCTTTATTCCCAATCGAACATGGTTGAACAAGCGGTCACGTGCTCCTGGGTGCCCAAATCACCTGGTCACCACGCCAGCAGGCGACAACTAACTTTCACACCAAGGTTCAACTCGAGTTCAACTCGAGTGACAGGACTGCACCCAAAAAAGGTCAAACAGGCTAGTACGTAACGTCGTTGTACCCTGCAGGCACGCCGACCCGCTACCTACATGTTTACTACCGGTGGTGATGGCGAAGCTGATGAGGACGACGACATGCAGGCTGCTGTCCAAGACAAGGAGGGTATTCCCCAAGACCAGCAGCGTTTGATTTTCGCCGGCACGCAGTTGGCAGACGGCCGAACCCTGAGTGACCACAACAACGTTCAGCAGGAGTCCACTCTTCATTTGGTACTTCGTCTCCGTGGTGGGATGCAGATTTTCGTCAACACTCTTCCTGGCTAGACCATCACTCTTTACGTCGCGCAAAGCGATGCTATCGACAATGTGAAGACCTCGATTCAAGACGAGGAGGGAGGTTATTTGTCTGACGCCGAGCTAGCCGCTCTGAGTGACCGGCTCAACCAAGATGAAGATAAAACCTGGCTTGCCCTCCGCCGTAGCTCCAGCCGCCGCCGTGGTTACTAACGCTGATTCCAGGTATGGCATTTTCTTTCCTGTCTTCCTTCAGTCTCCCTGTTCTCTTCAGTCTTCCTTTATGCGAGTGTGTGAATCCAGTTTAGTTTGGTAGGCGTCTGATCATGGTGAGCCACGGTTTACCTAAGTAACCTTAGTTGGTTCGTCGACTACTTGTCCGGCCGCAAGCAGCAGATCCTCATCTCGCCTTCAACCAGCCCTGCGCTGGCTTGCACCTGCGGAGTGCCCCAAGGCTCTGTTCTCAGCCCTGTCCTCTTCAGTATATACACACGCGATGTCCCTTTGGTTTCCTCGCCTGTGCCAAGTGTACAATTTGCAGATGACATAGCCCTGTACGACTCCCAGGCCTCAGGGGCGGAAGCGTCCAGAACCCTCACCACAGCGGCAACTGCTCTGGCCGGTTGGCTGAAGTCCCGAGGCCTCATCTTGAACGCCACCAAGAGCCAGGTTCTGACTATCTCTCCCCAGCAGCATGTACAGGAAGTAACAGTCAAAAGCGGCGACTGTCTCCTCCCCTCAGCGTCTTCTGCGCGCTACCTCGGCGTTCACCTTGACAATCGCCTAGATTGGGACACCCATGTAAACTATGTGGTCACCAAGGTCGCCAAGAAAATTGGCGCCTTGTGGCGGGCACGCCGAAGCCTATCAAGACGCTCTCGTCAGGTGTATGTGAAGGCGGTCATAATGCCCGACCTGCTTTATGGCTCCTGCTGTTTTTCAGCCGCAATGCGAGAGGGTCAACTGAAACGACTGCAAACCACGCAAAACAGAGCCATCCGCTGTATCGATGGCAACCCGCCCCGGACAGCCATGCAACCGCTGCTCACTGCTCACTCCCTGTACCGTGTCAGCGAGCTCTACAGGCAGAAAATATTGATCACCATCTGGCGGTGCATCCACGCCCGCACCAGCCCTGTGCTCGCCCAGCTTCTGACCCCAGCACAAGGCACCCCTACCCGCCATCAGCAGTCAAATGGCCTACTACTGTAAGCCAGGCAAACCGTAGCCGCCGCGGTCATGCGTCAGCGGAGATTTTCTGTTGCTGGTGCTCTGCTGTGGAACGCTCTCCCTGGTGAGGTCCGCACAATTACCCGGCTACCTGAGTTTAAGCATGCTTGTGTACCATACGCCTGTAGGGAGTAGTTCGAGTTGCTGCTGATCGCTCTGCTCTCCCTCCCCGTGCAGTTCAGTAACCCGCACGTAGTATCACAGATACATCGTATTCTCTCTCTCCCCCGTTTACCCGCAGTTATTAGTATCCTATTCTCTTACTATATGCTTCCATAGCTTTTACTATGTTCTTCCATAGCCACTTCTAGGCTAAGCCTTCGCCGTCATTTTATTGGGTCGTCATCCCGTTTGAATGTGCGAAGTGAAATAAAAACCAACCAACCAACCAGTAACCTGGTGAGAGAAGTGTGTGAGAATCCCCTTTTACACTCTCACACTCAGGAGAATGAAAGAAAAGTCAGGAGGAGTCTAAGACTCTTAGAGAGAAGAAAGACGTGTGCGACGATAGTCGTCGGGAATCGAACCCGCAACCTCTTGAATGGAAATCCATTGCACATACATTGTACCACTGCACTATTATCATGACAGTTACTGAGTATGTTACAAAAAGATGGAGCAAAGTGGGCTGGATGGCTGGTCTATAGCCTAGTCAACAAGACTCTACAGAACAGTGATCTAGACAAGTGGAAAGACGCTCAAACGTCAGAGTTTTTACTTCTTTTTTTACCATACATAATCACATACATGTAACATTAATATTACCCAACTCGAAAATAATGGTACTGAGACTAGGACAAACGTGACAACTACCGATAATGTACATAATCATTTATGAACAGGGGCTGCTCCGCGAGACGCAGCAGTGAACGAGAGCGTGAGTAGCTACGCTGCCTGGCACCGCCGGGTGATCTTTGCGGAGAGCTCTGAAGTGGAGAGCAGCGAGACCCCGTAGGCGAGCGTGAACGCGAGCGAAAGTACACTTGACATGCGGAATCCGGTGAGCTGTATGGGGAGCGGCATCGCGATCTCGACATACCACTACTCTGACCACTGCCAGCACCACGTCCATCACCGACGTGTGGGGCGTGTGAGTGACGAGACCCCGTCGCCGGCGTCGGCGAGCGTGAATGCGAGCGAAAGTACACTTGGCGTGCGGCATCCGGTGAGCTGTATGGGGAGCGCCATCGCGATTTCGACATACCACTACTCTGGCCACTGCCACCACGTCCATCACCGGTATGTGGGGCGTGTGAGTGACTACCGGATCTGGCACGACGTCGACGGGGCCGGGGCTCCTCCCGGCCGTTGCTACGACTACGGCCGTGGTGGCGCTGTCGGCATGGAGACAGAGATTTCCGGGGCTTCTCCCGGTCGTTGCTACAACTACGGCCATGGTGGCGCTGTCGGCATGGAGACAGAGATCTCCTGGAGCCACCACCAGTGTCACCACTGCGATGACTGGCATAATCGAAACTACGGCGTCTATGTGCCTGCTCCGGCTCGGGCCAACCAAATGGGTGCCTCTTCACTCTCAGCTGGCGCCCGTCAAGTACCAAGTTTCCATCTGCGCGATACAGTGCCTCCTCAGCAGACCAGCGGGAGTAGTATCGCACAAATGCAAAGCCAACCCGTCTGTATGGTTGGTGGAATTGCGGCACGTAGATATTACCGACCGTGCCATATCTGCCAAACACAGGCAGGAGGTCGGCCGCAGTGGTGCGAAAAGAGATATTGTATACTCCGAGGCTGTACATTCCTCCGATATCAGGAAGCTCACTGTTGCTTCGGAAGGAGACCACCATTTTCCAGTGCTCTAACTCTCACTTCAGACAAAAAGAAAACTTTCCAACCGGTCTATACCTGATAGAGGCAGAACTACTTTCCTTCAGAGGTGGAATACAATAGGCGGGAAGAGAAAGAACCAATAAGTTAATCATTATGACTGACAGTCTACTACGGTAACGAGATCTTATACAGTCAGGTAGTGCGACAACAAGGCACAAAACTGACAAGGATCATATAACTGGGACATTGGACAACCTGACAACTAGCTCCAACACATCTACGAGGCCTGGCGCAAACAAACAACCTTCCAACTTGGAATGCTCAGGTGCTAAAAGTTCCAATGACTTAGTGACTAAGTCTAGTAACTTGTTAGTCCCTTCTCTATACTTATACACACAAACACAAACACACACACACACACAAACACACACACACACACACACAAACACAAACACACATACACAGAGGCCTAATAAAACATATCCTCATTCACACTCACCCATACCCACATTCACCTTCACACTGCACACTTCACTGTGACCCATTTTCACCTTGGAAATGATCCCACTTAAGTTATGGGCTCACCACACCTCAGTAAGTGGGCAAAGACAAGGTGCAAAAAAGGATTGACGGCATCAGAGTATTCGTCCCGGATCCAACTGCAGCTACCACTGCCCCCCAGTGAGGGTAATACTTGCCACTCGTGTATGTGGCTAAATCAGAGTGGATCTGATAATATTGTAACCTAGCTAACGGGATTCAAAGAGTAATTTCCTGGATGTCGTCTTGGCGGTTATCGCCCAATCTGTCTAAAACTAAAATCATGCTCTTTCCTTCTCAGCCTGATGTTCCGCCCCTCCTCCATCCCACTTTCCCCCAGCCTATAGACATAGTCTCCAGCCATAAGCATCTTGGCATTTTCATTGACTCTTATCTTTCATGGGAACCCCACATCGATTACATATGTAAACGATCAAGTTCATCTTTAGGAATCCTCTCTTCTCACTGTTACCATCTCCCAATCTCTTGTAAACTCCTCTTTTACTCAGCTTACCTACGCCCCATTTTTGATTATGCAGATACTGCTTGGGCTGGAATTTCCACAACCCGTGCTGCCAAGCTCGAAATTCAGCACAAAAAAGTTCTAAAAATCCTCCTCCGAAAACCCCGCATGCTCCCATCTTCCACCCTTTATGCCCTTGCTGACACTACCCCTTTGTCTAAGAGACGTAATTCACATCTTGTCACCCTTATCCATTCTCTCAAACTCAATCTGTGTCCACCTCACCTCCACTGTTTCAACTGGTTTTCTTCCCGTAGCACGAGAAACTCCCTTTCCCTTCCGAAACCCAAGTCCTAGTTTCTACTTCACTCTCCCCTTTTCACTGCGTACTCTGCGTGGCTGGCACTTCCCCAAGAAGCTAAGGACCTTTCTTCCCTCCGCCTTTTTAAGAGCCTTGTCGCGCCTTGACTTTGATTTTGTGTTTCTCATTTTGTTACAATCACTACTTATCCATGCCGGTTCCTTTTTTTCTTCTCCTCCCCTTCTCCCTTCCTTGCCGTGGTTGGCTAACACCCTCTCTCTTTGTATTGGCCGGTGTTCTCACTGTGCTATGAGATGCTGTAATAAATAAATAAATAAATAAATAATAAATAAGCTTCACTAGCACCATTGATTGCACAAGAGGTTATCTAGCCAGAAGCAGTCCATGGTTAACAGGTATGTACTACAAGTATACTTCAAATAGAAGGTACTGTATATGAATCCTGAATCCAACAAAGGTGGCAGGTACAACATTACACCTTCAAGCAACTGAGCCTGTTGGCAACAGTCACAACGCTACATGCTGCATAAATGTCACCGTACCCACCAACGGAAGTAACCGTTAGCTGGCACACACACACACACACACACACACACACACACACACACACACACACACACACACACACACACCACCACCACCACCACCACCACACCACACCACACCACACCAAGTACATAGCCTAAAACGGCCAAGACAGTTATAATACAAGAAACTAACTCTCCTCCTCCATGAGTTCTAAAGCCGACCATTGCTACCCTCGGTAGCCATTACTCACACCAATAACTTCAAACAACGAAGTGGTCACGGGTAAAACATTTCCTTCTGACAGCTTTTTCGCCTATCAAAGGCTCATCAGAGAAGGTGATACTGATATTGTTATTGACATGGCATACTGATTTTATACGGTGTAATTATTATGGGCGCAAGAAAGAAACTAGGCAAGGTGTAACACTGAGAAGCTCCAAGAATATTCTCAAAGCCCTTGGTTCTAGGAAAATAGCAGGTGAGAGATTGTATTCGTCCAATCACAAGCTGCTAACATTTTGCATGGCCCGATAATGCAGCACAGATACAGACTACGAGCGTGTAAATTCGTAACTGATCATGGAAAGAGCTTTGGCAAGCAACTAAACAAGAATATTAATGTAAAAAATATTTATTATGAATACTGAGCTGAACGCCCTCATGCTCACGTGAATGGTCGCAGCTCGACAGCACAGCCCTAGCCCGCGCCCATGCTTCACAGGACGACATGCACGCACCACAACGACTGTCCCCGCAGAGTAAGTCCCCTCAGGCGTTCTCTCGAGCGACAGACCTCCGCTGGCCGTTACATCACACCCGCTGTGTGGACCGACTGGTTCCGCCAGCGCTCGATAGCGACACATTCTGCTTTTCTAATTCCTGTCCTCTCTTTTCTAAATGTGGCTTATCCTTTATATCATTGGGCCGAGTTCCCGTTTATTGCGCGAATTAAAATAAACCAACCAACCAACGAGATAAGTTTCTGTGTTACGCTGAACTTTGAAGGCAGACTGGTTAGCTGGGGTTGGGAACTTCCTATCGTCTGTAGAGTTCGTACGTCAGCTTAATTAAAGGGGAAGTTGAGGCAAAAATTAAAATTTCACCAGTTGTAGTCTTCGGGGTGCTGAGTCGAATGGTCTTGGTCCGAGAAAGCTGAGACGCTCCCTTCCTACTTGAATCCCAATCGAACTCGCGCACTTCCACCGAAACTGGGTGACTGCGCCCTACTAGATGGGGATTTGTATGCAAAATGTCACTAAAAGCGCCATTCCGTTCTTATAAAAGCATGGATGACCGCGATTGGCCCATATGTTGTAGTCTTTTGGCCGCTGAGTCGACTGGTTTTGGTCCGAAAAGGCTGCGATGCAGCGTTCCTCCTTTATTCCCAATCGAACATGGTTGAACAAGCGGTCACGTGCTCCTGGGTGCCCAAATCACCTGGTCACCACGCCAGCAGGCGACAAATTTCACACCAAGGTTCAACTCGAGTGACAGGAGTGCACCCAAAAAAGGTCAAACAGGCTAGTAAGTTGTACCCTGCAGGCACGGTGACCAGGTGACTGGTGTACGCAGGAGCACGTGACCGCTTGTTCAACCATGTTCGATTGGGAATAAAGGAGGAACGCTGCATCGCAGCCTTTTCGGACCAAAACCAGTCGACTCAGCGTCCAAAAGACTACAACATATGGGCCAATCGCGGTCATCCGTGCTTTTATAAGAACGAAATGGCGCTTTTAGTGACATTTTGCATACAAATCCCCATCTCGTAGGGCGCAGTCACCCAGTTTCAGTGGAAGTGCGCGAGTTCGATCGGGATTCAAGTAGGAAGGGAGCGTCTCAGCTTTCTCGGACCAAGACCATTCGACTCAGCACCCCGAAGACTACAACTGGTGAAATTTTAATTTTTGCCTTAACTTCCCCCTTTTAAAATAAGAAAAAAAGTAAATTCTCGTGTCCGTTCCCTAAGGGAACTGACGACGGCCGCTAACACTCGGCGGGAAGGGGGAGGAGAGTTTTTTTCCGATAAGGTGAAAGGTAGTGGGAAAATACATCCTTCGGAAGAGGAGAATCTGGCTAATGCGTTGTCGACATCTTGTGTGTCCATGAAATCATACCAGTTGAGCGAGGAAAGATACCTATCTACAGCTACCCAGACAGAAGGTGGCACTTGCGCAAAATAGTATGGAGTAGCTGCAGAACTACGCGCAGGATAGCATGGAACTTCCCCTGCAGGCGTTCGGGTTACAGTTCTGTAGAAAAGGGTGGTAACTACCTGTGAATGGTCGGACGCACCAAGCGGCGCAGCATCGTCGACAGAGAACACAGACTAGGGATGATTAGTAGCGAGCAAGTCTAGGCACGACAGGGAAGGATTAGGGTTAGGAGAAGTTTGACTGGGAAAACCTACCAGCTAGCCTGGGAGAGACCAAAGCTGGAGAATATAATGCGAATGTGCACACTCACACAAAAATACACATCTATGGGTCTAAGACCACCGCCAACCCGCACTGAGCTGGGTAAGGGTTGTCTCGCGTTCCAAGGAGCTAGGCTCTGGCATGCGTTGCCCAGCGAGGTGCGGGCCATACCGCACCCGGCCCAATTTCGCACTGCTGCTGTTCCACACAGCATGAACCCTTGATAGATATGCAACAGCAAAAGCCATAGCAACTTGTGCTTGGATTGCCCCATTCAACAGCTTGCGAGGCTGAAGAATTGACCACCACTATTCAGCCCGGTCTACTACACTACACAGCTATTTGAAGTGGCTCAGTTTTCTGGTAAGTGAATCCCTACTTTTTGGTCTTTTTCAGTTTTTTCTCTGCACAGTGCACACATCACACCACATACTCCGGCATGCACTGGCTGTTGGTAACCACTCAGGAGAATGAAAGAAAAGTCAGGAGGAGTCTAAGACTCTTAGAGAGAAGAAAGACGTGTGCGACGATAGTCGTCGGGAATCGAACCCGCAACCTCTTGAATGGAAATCCATTGCACATACATTGTACCACTGCACTATTATCATGACAATAAGAGTATGTTACAAAAAGATGGAGCAAAGTGGGCTGGATGGCTGACCTATAGCCTAGTCAACAAGACTCTACAGAACAGTGATCTAGGCAAGTGGAAAGACGCTCAGACGTCCGAGTTTTTACTTCTCCTTTTTTTACTATACATAATTCACATAACATTACCCAACTCGAAAATAATGGTACTGAGACTAGGACAAACGTGACAACTACAGATAATGTACATTTATGAGCAGGGACTGCTCCGCCAGACGCAGCAGTGAACGAGAGCGCGAGTAGCTACGCTGCCTGGCGCCACGGGGTGATCTTTGCGGAGAGCTATGTAGTGGAGAGCCGTGAGATCTCGTCGGCGAGCGTGAACGCGAGCGAAAGTACACTTGACGTGCGGCATCCGGTGAGCTGTATGGGGAGCGGCATCGCGATCTCGACATACCACCACTACTCTGGCCACTGCCACCACGTCCATCACCGGCGTGTGGGGCGTGTGAGTGACTACCGGATCTGGCACGACGTCGACGGGGCCGGGGCCCCTCCCGGTTGTCGATACGACTACGGCTGAGGTGGCGCTGCCGGCATGGAGACGGAGATCTCCTGGAGCCACCACCACAGGCGTGGGGGCCGGGCGAGTCAGTACCGGTACTACCGAATCTGTTATGACGTCGACGGGACTCCTCCCGGTCGTTGCTACGACTACGGCTGTGGTGGCGCTGTCGGCATGGAGACGAAGATCTCCTGGAGCCGCCACCAGTGTCACCACTGCGATGACTGGCATAATCGAAACTACGGTGTCTATGTGCCTGCTCCGGCTCTGGCCAACCATATCGTTCGGACCTGTTTACTCTCATACGGCGCCTGCCAAGCATCTTTCCATCTGTGCGAGACAGTGCCTTTTCCGCAGACCGGCGGGTGTGGTATCGCACATATGCACCGCCAAGCTGTTCGCCTGACCGCTTGTCTCGCGGCATGTAGATATCACCGACCGTGCCATATCTGCCAAACACAGCCAGGAGGTCGCCCGCAGTGGTGCGACAAGAGATATTGTCTACTCGGAGGCTGTACATTCCTCGGATGCCAGAAGGGCAACTGTTGCGTTGGAAGGAGTCCACCATTTTCCAGTGCTCTAACTTCAGACAAAAAGAAAACTTTCCAACCGGTCTATACCTGATAGAGGCAGAACTACTTTCCTTCAGAGGTGGAATACAAGAGGCGGGAAGAGAAAGAACCAATAAGTTAATCATTATGACTGACAGTCTACTACGGTAACGAGATCTTATACAGTCAGATAGTGCGACAACAAGGCACAAAACTGACAAGGATCATATGACTGGTACTTTCGACGACCTGACAACTAGCTCCAACACATCTACGAGGCCTGGCGCAAACCGACAACCTTCCAACTTGGAATGCTCAGGTGCGAAAAGTTCCACTGACTTAGTAACTAAGTCTAGTAACTTGTTAATATACAATCTTCACTGGGCTCAGTCCAGGTAAGATTTATAAACATACTGCATGCCTACACACCAACACTGCAAATTTGCCTGTTACACCGTAGATTCAATATCTACGCTGTAGTATAGATTCCCATTGCTCTTAATTTTTGGGCCCCTGGCGTTTTGGCGGCCCACTTGTACAATTGCAGTTCGCCCGCTCTTGCATAAAATGTGTTACTTTGTCATCTGTCTATCACTCTGATGATTACTCTTTGAAGTATGAAACCGGTCAGTCAAACTCACTGCAAATGACTTTTGTGAATTGGAAATGAGTGCTTTTGTGTCGGAGGAGTCTACCTCCCTCAATTCAGTCTCTTTAGACCTCCCTCAAAGCCTTTTTTCTAAAAACTATGGAAACTCCATTACGTGGCATTACGCTTGGCCTACGTCGGCCTACCGCTGCTTCAACGGACACTGGCGCCGGAATCGACAGTCAAGCGCCTTCGCGTCCCCGATGACGACGACGATGACACGTTCCCCCTACGACTCAAGCTCCTCTACCTCCTGCTCCTGCTCCTGCTGCTGCTACTGTTGACTTCTCCAAACCGCTTCCTGAGGACCTCGAACGGTATGTCACCTGGTGTCTATCTCGTATAACTACAAGTGATAAGATTCTGAATGATCAGAATAGGAGACTGAAAGTCTTTCAGCAGCAGATTTCTGGCAATTGCTATGAGGATTTCCTTTTAAAGAAATTTAGCAAACTTACTGACAAAGCACGTGATATTGAATGTACTGCTCATGTCAACCGTTGCATTGACACTTGTCGCCAACGCATTAGTAAGGCTCAAGCTATAAAGAAGGATGCTAGGCAAGATCTGGATGAGTTAGTAACCCAACTAGTTGATGACCTTTCCACCAGCCGTTTTGGTACTTTAGTTATGAGCCGTTTTGACTATCTCTAGAGCGAGAAACAAGCATGCTCGCTAGCTAAGACCATGAAAGCTTCCAAGCTGACAGAACGCAAACCAAGACCTGAGTCAAAGATGAATGTAACCGATATAACGACGCTTCCTCCAACGACGGAAGAATTGGGTACAATCATCAAGCGTGAAGTTTCCAGGCAAGGTGTACTTCAAAAGAAACCTCTTAGTCTTAAGAAGAAGCCACTTCCAAAAAACTTCACAGTGAAGAAATCGTCCGACAGAAGAGCAGTTATCCAGAAAAAGCCAAAAAATCAATAAAAGATTTAAGATTTAAATTTCTGTGGAATCTGAAACTGAACGTTCACTCCACTTTTGTTTTAAATTCTGGCTTCCACAACTTCTCTCGATTTTCCTTCACTCCTACCGAAAAACAAGTACTTGGCTATGGCTCTAGTTTCAGGCCAACTACACACTTACCTTCACACACGCAATTGATCCAGGAAGTTAGTAATCTACAACGTAGAGCTAGATGGAATGACTTATTTTCACGCATTGCACCTACAGTGTCTAGCACAAATTTCATTCCAAAGTTTCATCTCCCTTCGGAGAAGATACCGCCTACTGCTTTACCTCATGTAGAACGCTCTTTGCTAGATTTTCAGTTCAGACTGTTTTCTAGTATCTCTGCTGCTGGCTTTAAAAGTAAACGCAAAAGCAATCTTACTCCTGGTGAAGTGTCAGCTTATCGTAGCCTTAGTGATCGTTCTGATATCATTATTTGTATACAGACAAAAACTTAGGCACTGTTGTCTTGAATAAGGAAGACTATTTGGCTGAAGGCCAACGTCAATTATCCGATAAACATTTCTATTCAATTCAATCAACTGACACCCAGACTTTGCATGATAGTCTTCATGAAAAGCTCACAAACATCTGTAAAGCACATTCTGCCATACTTTCAACACGCGATGTTAGTGCTTTCTTTAGCTGTTTTCCACTCAAACCAGCTAAATTCTGCATGTTACCTAAAATACGTAAGAAACTAGTCGCAGGTTTAGTACCAGGTAGACCTATTGTCTCCTGTATTGGTTACTGCACATCTCCTGCCTCTAGATTTATAGACTATCACCTTAAAGCTATTATTAGTACACGCGCAACTACTGCACTTGCTGATACAAACAGTTTAACCTCTAAACTAGCAAGTTCCCAGTTTCCAACCAATAGCAAAGTGGTCACTGCTGACGTAGTTAGCCTTTATACTAATATGTGCTGGGTCGATACCACTGCTGCTCTTGATCAACTCCTTAGTGAATTAGATCACCCTCTCAGACCTTTGTTGATTGACCTTATTGCCTTTGTGCTTGAGAACAATTACTTCACCTTTGAGAATGTCATGTATCATCAAGAACATGGCATGGCCATGGGCACCCCTATGGCAGCTAATGTAGCAAACGCTTTTCTCTTCATGCACGAAAAGAAAACTATATCAATGTTTGAAAAATCAATCTACCTCTTTGATAGATTTATTGATGATCTTTTCTTGGTCATTGATGACAAACTCTGCATTGAAATGTTAAAACAAGCCCTGTACTCTGATCTACCTGATATAAATCTTACCTGGACTGAGCCCAGTGATGATTGTATATTCTTAGACTTGGAAATTTTTCAAAGTTCCCTCAGAGAATGCTTGTAACATGTCGTATCGAACCCACCAAAAGCCTAGAAATGCTTATCTTTACATCCCGTATAAGTCAGATCACCCTAGATCAAACTTTCGCTCATTTATCTTAGCTGAATTGTATCGTTATAACAGAACTAATGCAATGCTTTGTGATGTTATTGCAATCCGTGAGCGTTTTTGGTATAGGCTACGCCTCCGTGGCTTCCATTTTCCATTCTTTTCTGGCTTCCATTTTCAACAATGTCGAACCATCTCCTTCTGCACCGCAAGATAAGAATACCGTACCAGTTCCCAAACTGGCAAATGTAGCACCTCAACAGTAAAGGTGAAGACTGAAGAGATTCATGTACATCTCACAAGGCCAGGGTGGAAGCTGTGACACTAGCTACATCCGTGTTACCAAGAGTACATAACCTCCAGTGTTATCTGTACTCTTGGTGTTACCCTCACACCCAGGGCAGTAGTGACTGTGAGTACATGACCACTTACAAACTCAAACCTCTTTTTAATACGGTCAAAAGAAACGCAATGGATGAAAATGCAATACAAATGCGAACCCAGCAAGTCAGAAATGGGATAATAAGTAACGCAAAAGAATAAGAACAACAATGTGTAACTTTAGCAGCACTAATTTCTCAAAATGTATGGATTTAGCAGCACAGATGAAAATACAATAATTAACTAAGACTCTCTCTCTCTCTCTCTCTCTCTCTCTCTCTCTCTCTCGACCCAAGGCCGGCAAAGCATCCCAGACCTCGCCACCACTCCCCTTATTCATGGCTCACACATGACGGGTTTACGTGGCTCTAGTAAAAAATAAAAATAAAAAACCCAACGAGATAAGTTTCTTACTCTGTTACGCTGAACTTTGAAGGCAGACTGGTTAGCTGGGGTTGGGAACTTCCTATATCGGCTGTAGAGTTCGTAATTCAGCAAAGTAAAGAAAGTATATTATCATGTCCGTTCCCGAAGGGAACTAACGACGTCCACTAACACTCGGCGGGGTGAGGGAGGAGAGTTTTTTTCCGATAAGTTGACAGGTAGTGGGAAAATACATTTTTTTTTAATAAGAAGCAAGAGGAGAATCTGGCTAATGCGTTGTCGACATCTTGTGTGTCCATGAAATCATACCAGTTGAGCGAGGAAAGATACCAATCTACAGCTAGCCAGACAGAAGGTGGCACTTGCGCAAAATAGTATGGAGTAGCTGCAGAACTACGCGCAGGATAGCATGCCGCATGGCACTTCCCCTGCAGGCGTTCGGGTTACAGTTCTATAGAAAAGGGTGGTAACTACCTGTGGATGGTCGGACGCACCAAGCGGGGCAGCATCGTCGACAGAGAACACAGACTGGGGATGATCAGTAGGGAGCAAGTCTAGGCACGACAGGGAAGGATTAGGGTTAGGAGAAGTTTGATTGGGAAAATCTACCAGCTGGGGGAGACCAAAGCTGGAGAATATAATGCGAATAATATTATAAGCTTCACTAGCACCATTGATTAAACAAGAGTTACTTTAGGCAGAAGCAGTTCATGGTTATCAGGTATGTGTTCTTCATATTGAAAGTATGAACCATGAAACCAACAAAGATGGTAGGTACAACATTACAACTTCAAGTGGCCGAGCCTTTTGGCAACAGACCCAATACTATCTGGCATAAATGTACATACCAACCGAACTAGCTGGCACACACACACACAAAAACACACACACAAACACGCGCACACACATACACAAACACGCGCACACACATACACAAACACACCCTTTGACCTTTTGACGCCCATCGCTGGAGGCGATGATAGTGATGCTGCAGCAGAAGCCACAGAAACTTGTGCTGGGATTGCCCAATTCAACAGCTTGCAAGGCTGAAGAATTGACCACCACTATTCAGCCCGGTCTACTACACTACACAGCTATTTGAAGTGGCTCAGTTTTCTGGTAAGTGAATCCCTACTTTTTGGTCTTTTTCAGTTTTTTCTCTGCACACATCACACCACATACTCCCGCATGCACTGGCTGTTGGTAACCACCCAGGAGAATGAAAGAAAAGTCAGGAGAAGTCTAATGGGGTATTCACACCACCGGCACTTGCACGTTTTACAGGGAGTGACATACGAGAAATGTGACTGTGTGGATTCACACAGCTGCACTCGACGACAGGCACGTTTGCAATTTTAACTTGGTTTGGTTTTTATTATTTCAGTTCGTTGCCTCAACAGTACAAAGTACAAATATCAAGAGGGACGAACTTAATGCTTCACCGACCAGTAGCCATTGGTATTTCAAATTTTCAAAACACGCATACAATAATTATCATGCTCTAAAGAGCCGCGTAAAAACTCAAGTCTTGTTTCGCGCTTTTTGGTGTAAATGTACTCGTGCACACCACGATTATCGTGAAAGTGGGCCCCCAGGCTTGCACTTTTCAGCCACTTTCTGAGTCACTTTTCTCGTTCACAGGTAAAAGACCATAGCAACTTTCCGGTGCACGTGGACTTGCCTGTCGTGTGAATACCCCATTAGAGAGAGAAGAAAGACGTGTGCGACGATAGTCGTCGGCAATCAAAACCACAACCTCTTGAATGGAAATCCATTGCACATATATTGTACCACTGCACCATTATCATGACAACTACTACTGAGTATGTTACAAAAAGATGGAGCAAAGTGGGCTGGATGGCTGGCCTATGGCCTAGTCAACAAGACACTACAGAACAGTGATCAAGACAAGTGGAAAGACGCTCAAACGTCAGAGTCTTTACTTCTTCTTTTTTTACTATACATATTCACATAACATTACCCAACTCGAAAATAATGGTACTGAGACTAGGACAAACGTGACAACTACCGATAATGTACATTTCTGAACAGGGGCTGCTACGCGAGACGCAGCTGGGAACGAGAGCGCGAGTAGCTACGCTGCCTGGCGCCACAGGGTGATCTTTGCGGAGAGTAGTGGAGCGCCGGGAGATCTCGTCGGCGAGCGTGAACGCGAGCGAAAGTACACTTGACGTGCGGCATCCGGTGAGCTGTATGGGGAGCGGCATCGCGATCTCGACATACCACCACTACTCTGGCACTGCCACCACGTCCATCGCCGGCGTGTGGGGCGTGTGGGGCGTGTGAGGAACTACCGGATCTGGCCTGACGTCGACGGGGCCGGGGCTCCTCCCGGCTGTTGATACGACTACGGCCGTGGTCGCGCTGTCGGCATGGAGACGGAGATTTCCGGGGCTTCTGCCGGCCGTTGCTACGACTACGGCCATGGTGGCGCTGTCGGCATGGAGACGGAGATCTCCTGGAGCCACCACCAGTGGCACCACTGCAATGACTGGCATAATCGAAACTACGAGGTCTATGTGGCTGCTCCGGCTCCGGCCAACCATATCGGGCCCTGTCCACTCTCAGCTGGCGCCCGGCAAGTACCAAGTTTCTATCTGCGCGAAATAGTGCCTCCAAAGCAGACCGGCGGGAGTAGTATCGCACAAATGCAAAGCCAACCGGTGTGCCTGGTTGGAGGAATCGCGGCACGTAGATATCACCGACCATGCCATATCTGCCAAACACAGCCAGGAGGTCGTCCGCATTGGTGCGAAAAGAGATATTGTCTACTCTGAGGCTGTACATTCCTCCGATATCAGGATGGCCAGTGTTGCTTCTGAAGGAGTCCACCATTTTCCAGTGCTCTAACTCTCACTTCAGACAAAAAGAAAACTTTCCAACCGGTCTATACCTGAATAGAGGCAGAACTACTTTCCTTCAGAGGTGGAATACAATTGGCGGGAAGAGAAAGAATCAATAAGTTAATAGTTATGACTGACAGTCTACTACGGTAACGAGATCTTATACAGTCAGATAGTGCGACAACAAGGCACAAAACTGACAAGGATCATAATGACTGGGACTTTCGACAACCTGACAACTAGCTCCAACACATCTACGAGGCCTGGCGCAAACCAACAACCTTCCAACTTGGAATGCTCAGGTGCTAAAAGTTCCAATGACTTAGTAACTAAGTCTAGTAACTTGTTAGTCTCTTCTCTATAGTTATACACACAAACACAAACACACACAAACACACACACACACACACACACACACACAAACACAAACACACACACACAAACACACACACACACACATACACACACAAACACACAAACACAGACACACAAACACACACAAACGCACACAAACACACACAAACACACACAAACACACACAAACACACACACACACACACACACAAAGGCCTAATAAAACATATCCTCATTCACACTCACCCATACCCACATTCACCTTCACACTACAAACTTCACTGTGACCCATTTTCACCTTGGAAATGATCCCACTTAAGTTATGGGCTCACCACACCTCAGTAAGTGGGCGAAGACAAGGTGCAAAAAAAGATTGACGACATCAGGGTATCCGTCCCGGGATCCAACTTCAGTTACCACTGCCCCCCCCCCCCCAGTGAGGGTAATACTTGCCACTAGTGTATGTGGCTAAATCAGAGTGGATCTGATATAAGCTTCACTAGCACCACTGATTACACAAGAGGTTATCTAGCCAGAAGCAGTCCATCGTTAACAGGTATGTATACTTCAAATAGAAGGTACTGTATATGAACCCTGAATCCAACAAAGGTGGCAGGTACAACATTACACCTTCAAGCAACTGAGCCTGTTGACAACAGTCAAAACGCCACATGGCATTAATGTCACCGTACCCACCAACCGAACTAACCGTTAGCTGGCACACAAACATGCACACCCACACACACACACACACACACACCACACACACACACACACACACACACACACACACACACACACACACACACACACACACACACCACCTGTCCTGTCCTATTGAGCCACTGTCATGAAGGTTACGTGGGTCCCGGAGGGGTAGCTGAGAGGGAGGAGCACACAGCCCTGTGACGATCAGGTGATGCGGTAAGCGAAATCGGCGGGAGCAGGCGCAAACACATACGAAACCCTGACGGTCTTGAACGGTTGGACGACTACAAGTCCGTGAGCAGCAATGACGGGCGCGGCCACGTGTAGACGCAAAGCAGCGGTCACAAGCCTGGCAGTGAGCGACGCAGCGCAGCGGAGAAGCAGGCAGCGGCAGGGGCGCACCGACTGCTGACTTGGGGTAAGTACACTTGTGCCTTGCCAGACCCCCACGGGACGTCAGCCAACGGCCACACTCTCCACACTGGCATGCACCTTTCTGCTCCGCAACCGGCTTCACATGCTCACTCAACCCCACACTTGTGGCGTGCACGATCACTGGGCGTGCAAACTGGTGGTCGCAGGTGTAGCAGGTTACGGGAGGGGAGGATGCTGGGCATCTACTGGTGCTGAGTACGCCGAGCGCCAGGTGGAACGCGACTCGCATTCAGCTCGCCGTTCCCCCTCGAGGCAGTGAGAACGAAGGTCAGACACAATACAATCCTTCCAGCGCCGACGAGGGCCATGAGCTGGGCGACGCGACGGAAGCGTGCCAAAGAGAACTTGCTTCGGCAGCCGGTGGTCCGCCATCCGAGCAACATGTCCGAGCCATTCAAGGCGGCGGTGCTCCACCTTCGTGCGGATGGTGTCGGGATCACCCCACCTCACGCGTAGTTGGTGATTGGTGAGATGGTCATCCCAGCATTCTTGGCGAGACACTCCCATGATCGAGCGGATGCATCGGTGGTGGAAGACAGAGAGCCGCTGCAAATCCCGTTGAAGAGGCGTCCAACACTCCGAACTGTACAGCAAGAGTGACAAGACGCAGGCGTTGAACACACACCTCTTGATGTGGAGGTCCAGGTGCTTGTTGCCAAAGATGGAATTTTGCAAAGCGCCACACGCTCGGGAGGCCATTCGCAATGCGGGAGTCAACATCGCAGGATGAACGGCCGCCGCTGTGAATTACCGAACCCAGATACTTGAATTCGGTGACACAGACAATGTCGACACCAGCCAGACTGAGGGGTACACGGTCAGCATCAGACACATCAGCACCAGCAACCAAAAACTTTGTCTTTGTGGCACTAACCGCGAGGCCAAATTTGGACGCCGTGTTGTCAAAGGTTGTCAATGCGACCTCGGCACCAGCTCTTGATGTAGCGAACAATGCCGAGTCATCAGCGAACTGAGCCTCCGTAGCGGTAGTGACAGGGTCGGTGCGGTGAGACTTCCTGTAGAGGTTACCAGTGTCAGAATTGTGCGAGAAACTGAAACCAATACCAGGTACACCACTAACGCGCTGCTGCCATCTGCTTACCATGGCCCACTTGAAAATGTCAAACAGCACGGGCGCCATTGAGCAACCCTGGCGTAGACCATTATGAACGCTAAAGGGATCTACAGTTAATAGTAATAATAATCTTTATTTCAGGATTACCCAAAGGCTAACGCCTATCTGGGAATCTCCTATTTGTGTATGTACTAGTAACATAGTTAAGGATGAAGAAGGGCTGAGGCTTCCTGCAGCTTCATCTGTGAAAAGAATTCGGGTGGACACACCCATTCCCATAGCGCTGCACATCACATCCGAACCAGTTCCGTTATTTTTACAACGTTTCGGCACTTGGCCATCGTCAGGTAATAGCAATGAATACCGTGGAAGCCACACAAGAGCAGTATATACGCAGAGTGTAGCGCCAAAAAAGATGCGAATTATGTCACCTAGTGTGCAGAAGGGGGGGGGGGGGACAGAGAGAGAGAAAAGGCGCAACTAGCACATCACGGAGGAGAAGCAACAGAAGGTAGCGCGCATTGTGCTCTGTGAATGGCGTTACGCAGAGTGTAGCGCCAAAAAATAAAATGATGCGAGTTATGTCACCTCTATACAGAGGGGGGGGGGGAGAGAGAAGGTGCAACTGTGCACATCACGGAGAAGAAGAGCGCGCCGTTGTGCTCTACGAAGTGAGGGCACATGCCAAATAATTATGGTGTTAATTCTAGCACAGGAGGGGAGCACCCATGTGTCAATGCACAATGAGGTTAAACTTCCATGCCAAACTGTTACCACCAGGGACGCGACGAGGCATCAGGAACAGAATGGATTTGAGTGACCCGCCTCATATTATAATTATTCAGTGATATTGAAGTAGCAGCAGGGGAAGGTGAGAAAAATTCACAACAAATCCCATCCGGTGCTTATGTTCACATGGGGCTTGGCATCACGAATCTCAATCGCCTCGCGCAGTTTGCGACGGGCTCGATCAGGCTCTCTTCCTATCACTTCAACTGCAGAGAATGCACTTTGCCCATAGTTAAGCTTACATCCAGGGTGAGTGGTACGAAAATGTTGGCCCCATGGCTTGTCGAGTTCCTTTCGTCTTGCCTCACCATTGTGTTCTTCTAGGCGAGTTTCCAGAAAGCGGCCAGTCTCACCAACATAATTATTGTTCCGGACATTCTTTGCACTTCAGCTGATATACAACATTCTTCTGCATACATACATCCTGTCCCCCGGATATACACGAGATACATGGCCCCTTTGGGCGACCTGTCTTTTTCGGTTGTAGCGGATTTGCAGCCTTGACACATAGAGGAGGAACGAGGGCGGAGCGACACAATGTGCGCCTCAGGCTACCAGTGTGCTCATATACGACTCTAACCGGAATTTTATACTTTCTGATTGCTTTATTCACTGCTTGATGTACTTTATCTGACTTATATGGAAGCTTTAGAAATGCGCAGCATGGGTTGGCATGGCGACGACGCTTTGGCCTTATGGAGGCAGTGCGTGCCTCTTCAATGATTCTCTCTGGGTAATTGTTCAATCTTAATTGTTCATGAACCCTCGCTTCACTTTCTGCACGCATTCTGGTATTCGATGAGAGCCTCTGAGCTCTTAGGAATTGTGACGAAGCAACTGCCAATTTGATATGGTGGGGAACTGCCGAAGTATAATCAATGAGTAGACCACTAGCACATGCCTTCTGGTACAGCTTGTATGCCAGCTTGCCTTCCTGGATCATAATTGTGATATCCATATAATTTATGGAGCCACTCACCTCGCTGAGCTCATATGTGAAGTTGATACTTGGGTGTGCAGAGTTGAAATGCTGCACAAACCGCATCAAGCTGTCTCTGCCGTGGGTCCATAGCAGCAGGATATCGTCGATGTAGCGTTTGTAGAGGAGCGGTACTAACGGAGAATCCTGCAGAAGCCTGGCCTCAACCGTATGCATAAATATAATCGCAAATGGGGGTGCAAGATTGTTACCCATTGCAACCCCGTCCACTTGGTGATAGATCTGATGGCCGAATCTGAAATAGTTGTGGCTGAGAACAAACAGCAGCAGATTCCGTACCCCGCTCACACTCAGCCCAAACATGTCGATCCGCTGGGAATACTGCTGCAGCATATCCACCACTGCCTGAACGCCCTCCCGGATAGGTATGCTCGGATATAACCCGACTACATCCATGGACATAACAATGGTGCCATCGGGGGCGTTCAATCCCGGACATGCGTCACAGATGTGGGCTATTGCTTCCGTCGTGTTAGCCAGGTGGGCCGGGACAAATTGAATGAGCTGCTGTAGGATGCGCTCCAATACAATAGATACTCCAGTCGCTGGGCTGTCGCACGCTGCTACCACGGGTCGCAATGGTAAGTTCTGCTTATGGTCCTTTGGAAGACCGTACCACTCGGGGAACTTC